CTCGCAAAGAGCTCCGGGCAAAAACTCCGTGCTAGCCTGAAGAGAGACCGCGAATCCTGGTGGTCTCATACTGCATCAGAAATGGCAATGGCCGCTGCCCTTGGTAACCATCTTAAGTTATTCCGTCTGATACGGGAAACGGGCAGCAGAAGACCTGGTGTTAGTGAAACTACACGGGAGTGAGTGAACTGCCTATTCACAACTTGTCAAAATGCTTGGAGCCTTGGGCTGATCACTTTGAAAGGCAACTTAATCGGTCGGAATTGTTAGATTTCTCGCCGACCACTGATCGCCCCGCTCCCTGGGCTGTCCCTTTGGACCCACCCCCTCGCTCAGAAGTTAAACGTGAGATCGAACTGTTGAAGCTAAATAAAGCTGCGGGACCAGATGACCTACCTCCAGTCCTCTTCAAATTCGGGGGGCCTGTTCTTGTAGACGATTTATACGAGTTACTAGTGAAACTATGGGAGCAGGACACTGTCCTAACCGACTGGAGCCGCTCCGTCATAGTCCCAATTTTCAAGCGAGGCTCACGATCGGGATGCGGCAACCATAGAGGAATCAGTTTGATCTCCATCGCCTCCAAATTGCTTGCCACTGTCATCCTTCACAGACTGACTGGAACTCGTGAAAGCCATATGCGTGGAGAGCAAGCCGGGTTTCGTCGAGGTCGTGGCTGCATTGACCACATCTTCACCTTTCGTCAGTTGTTGGAGCACCGTCACATATATTGGCGGCCCACCGTTGTCGTGTTCCTCGATATTAAAAGTGCATTCGATTCAATGGGTAGACATGCACCATGGGACTGTCTACTCAAGAAAGGTGTGCCTGAGAAAGATGTAAATATTATCCGATCTTTATACGCGCGTGGCTCAGGCAGAGTGTGGGCTTACGACAAGCTGCCTTCGCGCTTTAATATCTCCAGCTGTGTGAGACAAGGATGCCCGCTGTCATCTTTCCTCTTCAACTTCGCTATTGACGAAGTCATGGAAATCACGTTCACAGGACACGACTTAGAAGGGGTGGAGCTACTCCCAGAAGAACGACTTCTTGACTTAGAGTATGCTGACGACATTGACCTAACCTGCGACAGCTCACAAACATGCCAAGCGGCACTGGACAGATTAGCACTAGCTGTCCGTCACTTCGGGCTTTGCTTCGCACCCTCGAAGTGCAAAGTGTTCCTCCAAGATTGGCATGGACCGCCTCCTGCGCTGACCCTCGGTGGTCATCAGCTAGAAGCCTTTCAAAAATTCAACTACCTAGGAAGTTGTATCAGTGCCCGTGGGATTGAGGATGAGATCACCAACCGTATAGGCAAAGCTCGAGGCGCTTTTCCTAACCATCGCCACTTATGGTGCCGGTGCGACATCACTCTCGTCCTAAAGGTTAGAGTGTACAATGCAACGTTACGTTCGACCCTAGTGTACGGTTGTGAAACCTGGCCGCTTAAAGCAGCGGACCTGAAGAGGTTAGTTACGTTCGACCACCGGTGCCTTCGTAATTTAGCTCACATCTGGTGGGAACACCGCGTGAGCAACGAGCGTGTTCGACGCCTTGTTTACGACACAGGAAAAGGAAATGAACCGCTCAGCACCGTTATTTCACGCACCAGGCTCCGATGGCTCGGGCACGTGTTACACATGCCAGCCCACCGACTACCGCGACGTGAGTTGTTTGCGCACCGGTGGTGTGGATTGAAGAAGAGGAGGGGTGGCCAAGCGATGACTTGGTCGAAAGGAATGAAGGCCCTCGCTTCGAAGCTGGCCTCGGTTGGAGCGTCTCGGCTCCCTGGTTGGGGTCCGAAAGACGATGAACACGTTTGGCTGGAAAGATTTGTTGAAATGGTTAAGAGCCGACTTCAGTGGCATTTGTGTCGTAGGTTTCTTTGTCTCACCCCATCGCTCTTAGCCTCCCCTCCAACCACGATCTCATTGGTTAGTATTTTATAACTTTGCATAGTAAATTATTTTTCCCTGCTGCATAGTAGCCGTCTGGTAGCTTACCGGAACGATGCCCATCCGTTACCGGTAGCTCAGCTGGCCTGCGCTTATTGCATTTTCCTTATCTTCCTTTACGTATTGTGGCACAGTAGCTGAGGTTTTTGCCACCTCTTGCTAATGTGTATAGTGTGTGTGTGTGTGTGTCTCCGGATCCTGCAACAGTTCACATTGTAAGTCGTTGCGATATTATAGGATTATACGAAGGGATAAGACCGGGAGGCATGCGGATGGGAGCCACGTTTCATCAACGGAGCCGGCCCACACTCCTTCACAGGCAAACACAATCACGCTGTACTTAGGGAATCAAGCGCACACAAGGCGGTGGCTGGACCGTAGTCCGCTCCACACTGACTGCATGGAACCACTCTTCGAGCCTAGCATGACCACAAGTACCCTGGACCCCGTCCCCTCCAGCAACGACCAACTGTCTCCTGGAGCCACATGGACGAGGTAGTGGGTAATAGGTAGGTAGGCACCTTGTCATCAAGCACATCAAGTTCAGTCACACCGGGGATATCAAGTAACAGCCAATAACTTGCAACGGCGATATCAAATAAAATCAATCGAATAATGAGCACAGCTACGGTGACATAACTCCTCACTAAATGAGCGTATAAAAAATGAATACGAACGAAAGCGCGTTTAGTTCAAGACGTCAGAAAATAAATCTTAAGAAAATACCACAAACGCGAAAACGTTATCGAAGTTAACTACAAGTAGCTTAAGCGTCGTGTGCAAGTTTATAGAAGGTAGTTCAGGTAGACATTAATACGAGATACAAAAGCATTGGGGCAATATAGCAAACCCACCACCTAAATAAAGAGACTCAGCACGCATGCACGCGGTTGGGAAATCGAAGGTAGCGTATCTACAAACGGCTCGAGGATTCCTGTACGTTATCCTCCATATAGATGACGCGGTCTACTAGAATTACAATGAGTTTTGAACATGGAGCAAACCGACTAGTTGCTAACACAGTTATAGTTTCTATCAACCAACAGTGACTGAGTACGTCAAAAGCAAAAGCGGTTCCGGCAGAAAAATAGCAAGCGACCATGCGAGAATGGGTCTCTTAATTGCTCCAAATCGTGATACACTGTAGCCACCTGTTAGTGCTCTGCTCAAAGCACTAACGCCTACAAAGATACGGGGCCTGTCTCGGCACAGGTAAACCGTCTTTTTCTCGACCTTTGACAATGCTGGTCCCACAGCGTACCTGGTGTGAGTGACAGAAGCGTGCTGAAAATCGATCACAGCATGTTCTCGCCAGCAACACGCGCCTGTGCAGAACACCAATCGTATAAACATCCACGTAAGGCCCAAAATCGGTACGTGTGAGCCACTATCACTTCGTGGAGAACGAGTGAATTAGTCTAAGTGAGTCATCTACAAGCTCATTATTGTTTGTGTGGCAATGCGCCATGGAGATTTCCCTGCAAATCTGCTACCAGAAGTCATCACTCAGTTGGTCGACTGGTATCCAGTTGAGTACAAACCGCAAACGGTTACAATAATTTCTATCCCACAATCAAACAGCCTGCAGCATTCAGTTCAGCTGAACAGTCTGACGACTATTAATGTAAAGTCGCGCCATCCAAATTCGAAACCTTCAAAATTTGGCTACCAAACGGCACGGAAAGATAATTCAGTACTTTATCTGCAAGGAATCTTGTCGAATGTCATGCGAACGACATTGAAGGCCACAATGATCATCGACAAATAGTTCCGTTTGTATGTAGTAGGAGGTTTATTAGATTGTTTGTGATGATTCGTCGCAGTTAGACTCAGGCAGACAGCCACCAGACATCCAGCAAAACGCTAGACAGCCGTTTCATCCCATTGAGACTCGTCAGTAGCGCGCACCCGCCTGGTCCTGCCGGATTCAAACCCACGACCTTACTCTTGCGAGCCAGCGACTTATGCCACTGAGACATGGGCGACGGCAGCGGAATGAGATGACGGATATCTAACTGCGATATAGTGCGGCTCCTCCTCCACTCCCATGCACGTTACGAACGAGCAGACGACAGGGCTGACCCCCAGAGGAACACCTTCCTTCTTGTCCTCTACACGTTCATAATATGTATGATAGTGGAGGAGGAGCAAGGCTATATCACAGTTAGATATCAATCATGTCGGTTCGCTGCCGTCGCCCATGTCTCAGCGGCATATGTCGATGGCTTGCAGGAGTTATGTTGTGGGTTTGAATCCGGCAAGATTCGTCCCAATACGACGAAACGGCCATCTAGCACTTTCCTGGATGAGTGGCTGCTGTCTGCTTGAGACTAACTGCGATGAATCTTCACAAAATATCAACAAACCACTACTGCTTACAAAAAATTAGTAGTCGCCTTAGCATCTTACATGCCACCTCGATTGGTGGCGGCTTGCAAAAGAAGTCGTGGCTCTGGGGGCCAGCCCTGCCCTCTGCACGTTCATAACATGCATGACAGTGGAGGAGGAGCAAGGCTATATCGCAGTTAGATATCAGTTATGGCGGTCCGCTGCCGTTGCCCATGTCTCAGTGGCATAAGTCGCTGGCTCGCAGGAGTAAGGTCGTGGGTTTGAATGCGGCAGGATCCGGCGGATGCGCCTTACTGACGATTCTCAATAAAGAGAGGCGGACGTCTAGCGTTTTCCTGGATGTGTGGTGGCTGTCTGCCTGAGTCTAACTACGACGTCTTCACACAAAAACTATCTCCGTGTAACCTGTTAGCCACCAAGTACACACCCGGCACATCTTAAATCCCACTGTCCTAAGCAAGTGTGACAACCTGTGACCGCTATCATTTACTTGTGTCAATTTCAGTATCTCGAGCACAATACTTGCCCATACATTTGTCTCCAATGCCCTCCAATGGATCTTCATACCATCAGAAGCACTTATTGACGCTGGTAAGTGTGGCAGTCCATTCTGAGAATGGAAAAGTAAAGTTGAACGGTACTATCACGTGATTGTCCTTCTACGCTACCAAAACCATCCTTAATACGTCCAGAGATGATGCTCAAACAATGTATCGACCCGGTGGCACAGATATCACATTTCAACCACACCGGACAGTCAAATATCCACGGGGGAAGTTGTCACGCATGATAAATTTACAATTAGGTGTAGATGAAGGAAGGTGAGGGTAGTCGGGCAGTTCACAAATCCCGCTGGGAAGTTGAATGTTAGAGCGCAACTTGACTGGGACCGAAAGTGAAGAAAATCGAAACTATCGGGATAAAAAGCAGTTGAACTAAGTCGACTACCAAAGATGGTAACGGCGAAATCAAGAAAACCGTAAGAATTGATTATCTATGAAATCAAAAACGTGTTGCGCAGATGAAGACCCAGTAGAGTGGTCTGCACGGTCAAGTTTAGAAGCGTAAATATTACATGAAATCATGATACCCTGTACGAGTGGTTATGGTCGGTTGGTGCATCAGAAATACACGTCAAAAATTAGTCTTGTTTTGCATCACAATGGGTGAATCGAAGTCAACATCAGTAGGTAGTAAAAAAGCGTACAACTGCGTGAGTGCATGTTCCAAAACCGGAAACTCTCGAACAGACATCGTCGTGAGTGGATCCCCATATTTCCGACGTCAGTTCGCCAGTCCTGTAGCGTTAACCAATCGACGACTAACTCCACCGATACTCCCAGCTTCACTCCCGTGGCTGCCATCGCTTTCTGTACTTGCGCTGGTCATTCGATAGCCCCGGACAGGGGGATATCCACCGAAATACGTGTTCATTCCACTTGAATTGCCGTAGAATGTGGAGGGAGTATCGAATCCATTTGTGGTACCTGCCGCCATTCCACCGGCGTAGTAGGCAGCCAGTGCGGAATTGTTCAGCGGATATGCCCCACCAAAGGGGTCGAATTGACCGTAGTACGATGAGGACGACGAAGGCGCTCCTCCGGTAGAGCCCTCTGCTCCGCCAGCGGCAACGGCGGCCACTGCTGCCGGCAACAGACCGTTGCACGACACGGAAGGGGGATGTCCACCGGAATCCAAATGATCCACTCCTCGATATTCTGCTCTTAGGAATTCGGACATGAAAGTGTTGCTTGCCGACAGGGGTGATGGGTCGTTTAGATTCTTTCTACTAGCCATAGCGCATTGGCTGTTTAAGAAACCGGAGCCTATCCGACTTGCTGGTTCGTTCGGCCCAGGTAACGGGTTCCCGGCGGACACGGCAGCGGCAACTGCGGCGGCTGCTAGATACATGTCGTTGGCATTTGAATGATTGGCGAATCCTGTGGACACAGATAATGCACAGTAATTTGTCATTAGTGATAGAGAATAGTCGTGCTCTATCACTGAACAGCATTTTTACATACTTGAGCAGTGACGATTAGGATGCAAATGAGGTTCCATGAACCCTTAGCGACCAAACTGTCTGCGTGCCAAAAGCATTTATGCTCAAGAACAATATGATCTGGTAGAGGTAGACAGCACTGCTATAGTTGCCAAGTTCCAAACATGAAATCGTTAGGTATAACATATTCCCCCCCCCCCACAACGGTTGCTCGTCGGATATCACTCTCGCTTACCTTTAGCGTACATTATCATCCTCCATACATATAGCACACAGTTAACTACGTCGCCGTGCTAGCAGATGGCCTATCGTCCGCCCCAGGAGCCAGGTCAGCTCAAGCTACGTTGTCAGTGTCATCACCATGGCTTAGTACTAATGATAACTAGTGATATCATCAAATCACCATAAGCCTCTTAATGAGCTAAACTTGTAAGGGACAAGGCGGCCTAATGCAAGACCTACAGTTTCACTTCCCTGCCTTGTAATTCGAGGGACCGCCTAGGAACATGGCGACTCTAGCATTATTCTTGACCCACGTGCTGCTGTTGATGGTTGCGCGGCAGCGAAGTCTAGGTACTGCTGATGACTTCTTCTTTCTCTTCAACAATCAGACTACACTATCCCAGTTTGGAAGGTAAAAATTATATATCATTTGTCTACGCCCTGGTGTTTCCAAACCACAACATGAATAGAAATAGGAGATATCTTCTTCACGGTTTCAAACTCACTCCGTTTCTTTTTGTTCGTGAAACAGGATAGTCGTTTTACTGTCTCGGAATAATTCACTCACTCCAACCGGTCTTTAAATACCAGGGTGGTTTTGTAGCACAAACTGCGGTGACACTAACTAAAGCGTGAAACCAATTTGAGGAAGATGTGGGAGACATTGACTGATTTACACAAACTGTCAAAGCATTGCAAGAAAACCCTGCTTACCGGCAGCCGCGGCAGCTGCTTGTGCGACCCGAGTGTATGCCGCGTAAGGGGCACTGTCCATATAGTTGACGCAGGGCGGAGGAGCCTCCGTGGATGAATATCCGTGGGGATCTTGAAACGGTAAAATGAAGTGCTGGTAACGTATTCATCGGCAACGTCTGTGATAGTGTTCATCTTTCTGTTCGTTTGCTTAATTATTTACGGGTTGCTTTTTTATGATGAATGGGAACTACTGGGGTTGTGCACCCATGGTCCAACTATGAGTAAGTGATTTCCATAAAATAGCCTATGTGAAATAAAAGAATTTCGCTTTTGCCTACGGATGGTACATTTGTTATTGTTACGCATATAATGCGCAGTTGTATCTGTTAAATAGAGTCCAAGGTCGATCTGTTGCAGCGCAAATATTCACATCAATTCCTTAGAATCAAGAATAGTACTTCCGTCACTGCCATTGTTTGCTTTGCACCCATCAGTATGGTGATCAGTAGGACAACCTAATCGACAGAGAAGCTGTACCGTAGAGCAAGCTGCCTCTGCAACCACATCGATTAGTACTGGTGATGGGTCTGAGCCCCGCAATGGTCCGATGAAATGCGCACTGCTGACGATTCCCAAAGGGATGAACAGCCGTACAGCGCTTTTGCGGGCCTGTGATGGATGTCTGAGTGAGTCTAGATATGATGAATTTCTACCTATACAATCCCCTATCCTCAAACCATCATAACCTTATTGGTGAGCAAAAGTCGTACTGGACAAGATGGACCTGTTGCAAAGCGCAATAAGTTAAACAAACCTTCAGAAGCAAAACGCCCAGGACTGGTTAAACGCACACACACACAGTTGGCGATCACTCCGGTCGGAAGTTCCTTTTGTTGACACTGCCCTGCGTCCTGTTCAGCCATTACTCCACATGTAACTGAGCGTAGGACAAGCATAGAACCGGTAGTACAGATAGAAGACGACAGCAAACACGTCGCTGATGGTGTATGCGGGCTAGGTCCCTTTATGTCTCTAGATAAGCACAGAATGGATCTCGCGGAACCTCGCTTGGGACCGACAGCACCCTACACGGTCACCATTCAGTTCATTTGCTTCTATCAGGTCAGCGATCCCTTCTCTCGCAAATTAAACCATCCCAGATGTTGTCATTGAAACAAGACCCTCTTCAGCAGGTGTGTTTACTTAGCACGTGGCCAAATCCAGACGACCTATTCAGGTGTTCGCCGAGCTGGGCGCCTTGATTGCAATGAAGCTAAGCGAACACCACATGGTTGGCGGCATCCGGTTTCGGATTTGCCTGTCACTGTGGCCAACCATAGGATGCCTGCGCCTACAGAGAAACCATGGATGGCTTACGCTGCACCACCCACAGCTCCATCCACACACTCCATCTCCAGTGTAAACCCGAAGGAATAAGACCGGGAGGCATGTGGACGAGATCCGTGTTTCCCCAAAGAAGCCAGCCCACACTTTTTCACAGGCAAACACAAGCACGCTGTACTTAGGGAATCAAGCGCACACAAGGCGGTGGCTGGACCGTAGTCCGCTCCACACTGAGTGCATGGAACCACACTTCGAGCCTAGCACGCCCACAAGGACCCTGGACTCCGTCCCCTCCAGCATCGACCAACTGTTTCCTGGAGCCACGTGGACGACGTAGTGGGTAATAGACAGATAGGCACCTTGTTAACATGTACATCAAGCGCAGCCACACCTTGGATGTCAAGCAACAGCCAATCACTCAAAATGCCGAAATCGAATAAAGTAAACGCATATGACAACATAATTACTCGCGAAATGAGCATATAGAAGTAATTGGTTATAAGTGCATCTGTGATAAGTACAAAATGTCCGAGTTATTGAAAAAAAACCACGCGATACAATTACGCAAGTTTACCACAATTTGCATGTGCGACGTGTGCAAGTTGGGAGCAGATTATCAAGTACGCAGAACAAACCAAATAAACTGGAGCGAATTTTATCCACATTAAAAAGACCTAGTTTAAGTGTAACTTGGTTTAGACGAACTGCGGTGAAGAAGCATCATGAATGCAAAATCAGCCTCAAGGTGCCCTCATCATGGGGCACCACAACACCTGAACAAACCGCCCTAGCTAGTAGTATTCCAATTAATTTCCCACACCACTTGTACTGCCACATTTGCCGCCGTAGCAAACTGACCTGATCACGATTTATTGCAATCATCCACGCAACATTCATTTGACTGTCAAGAAACGAATGCTGTTGCCAACTCTATGAAAATTACAGTCCGGAACCGGTAAGCTGGAGGTCTCAACACACGTGCATCCTACTCAGTAAGCAGGTACATCCGAATGGGCAACCAGAGTAAAGCCGGCAACGACTCCCGTGCCGCAATTTGCAGCAGCATTCATGTCACGTGAGAGCTGCTCCGTACATGCCTGGCTGGCCATCGACCCAACAAATACCACATTCGATATAGGCTGGCTGTCTGTCTGGAAAGTCGACACGATTGTCAGGAAACACTGCGAGCCCCTTTCCCCCATGTGGGGCACATATCCAATTAGCCGCTAATAGTGGGTCTCCACTCAAAGTATATGTGCGTTGCCTGTCTCATCAGTTTCTCAACTTACATCAAAAGGAAAACACCATTCGTCTGTCCAGTGCTGTCACCGTTGCGCTTAGCGCTTGGATCCCTCTTGTTACTTCAGTGTAGGAATATCCGGTTATTGTTCTTTACTCAAACAGTGGGCAGAGAGAGTTCAAGTCTCCTCTGGCCCTCTTCAGTATTCTGCCAGTATGATGCACCTCGTCCGTCATTCAAATTCGGTACACTACAGTGAGTTACGGCTACTATACAATTAGCGCTTCAGTCAGGGATGGTGCACAGGTAGTCCTTCCGTCAACCAGGTCTACGAACTACCCAATGCGCTGACATGCTGCGGAGGGCCTTCGGGTGATTTGATACACCCCTCCGTCTACAGTTGGTTAACACATATGTGCGGCCGTATGTGAAATACGCAATCCAGGCCTGGCAGCCTTGGCAGGATTAAGGCCTCGCAGCGCTCGCAACTCTACTGCGACGAGCCACGAAGTACATCAACGGGTTGTTCCATATTCCATATCAACTTAGGCTGAGGACCTTAAAATTCTGCACCGACCAGTATCGACGCCTACGTGGAGACACCATTATGTCCTACCAGATTTTGAGGAGTCCAAACCACGTCTGCGACCACCTACTACCACTCAGTCACAACACGAATTTGAGGGGCCACCAGTCCAAGTTGGCCATGCAATGTAGTCGGATAGAATGTCGAGGAACCTTTTACTCTCTTCGTGCGTTCAAACCGTGGAACGCCCTCCCAAATTACCTTGTTTCCGCCCCCTCTTTCCCTGTGTTTAAGAAACGCCTTGACGTTGCTCCAACCCACCTACATCAGGAGCTACAGCCTGTGTGTGTCGACAGATGACATAGTGTGAGGAAACTTACACAATCAGAATTAACCTACACAACTGAGCTTGGCTGTTTCTGCATACCTCTGTGTGAACACTTTGATTGGTACAACAAAAAGATATTCATTTTATCCCTTTGTTTTCTATTCACCGTATTGGAATTCTCATTCTGGTCATCCTACGGAACTTGCTGAGCATCAGTTTTTCCCTCGTAATGTACCGTTGTGCCATTGTTCTCTCAACGCCCTGTTCGCATCCTTGTAGATGTTGCTTGGAGCGAACACCAGAAGTCAAATAAAGTCAGAGTGACTATGATAAAAAGTTACGCAATCCATCCTTGCGAACGGTGTCCCGGAGCTTCCGAGGACATAGCGAGTCACTGGGATGAATGGCGCTTTGTTCCCGAAGTGTTCACTACAGAAAATGCCATCGGCAATTAGGACTCAAGGTTACTATTATTACCCAAATACAAAGGATACTGTCGGCAAGTGATGAAAGTAACACTGCAATCCAAAAGGCATGGCAGAAAAGGGGATGGAAATTTGGCTCACAATGCGCAACTAGATACCGTCCGGAATATGTCCAAAGGCAATGAACACCAGGCCACAAATAGACAAGATACCACTGAACAAGCAGGTCATGCGTGCGATCTGGTCCTCATAAATATTTGAACCGGGACAGGGTCGAAACACCCCGACAGTTGGAAGAGGACTTGGTTATCAGTCACTTGCTGCCACTGAACACTACATACCAACCCGGAATAACCCTAGGACCTGCGTCGTCGGTCCTACAAATAAAAGACCGGCAGCCGACTCCGCAATGGTCAGCATGGACCGTTGCCCAAAACCACCATCCACAAACAAGCTTCTAACCTCTGAGGCCCATTCTAGTTTAGGTACTAACGAACAAGGTCTTCTCAGCAGGCTAACCGAACTTCGTACTCGTCAGCTCTCCACGCCCTGGGATATAGTCATGCTCACCGTAACATGGCTGAAAAAGGAGACCAATGATGCTGGGATTGTTCAGCCCAGCATGACCCCTGCACTAAACGGTCGACGCAGCAGAGGAGACGGAACTCCCCTGTATTACTGATCCGACCTGCGTGTTTATATCATCGACGATCCAGCTACGTAAATTGTTGCTTCCCTTTAATGCTGTATGCACAGACGTGGTGATATGTGTTTACCAGCAATAGTTTACCACCTTCTAATGCCCACTGGAAATGGATCACCTTCTAGGCACTGCAATGAAGCATGTACTGGCATGACCACACAGCTATGTCCTTCTGGTGGATTTTCACCTGCACATGAGCGAAGTCCGTGTCGCACTAAGCGAAAGGTTCAAGGCGGACTTGCAAGAAGTAATAGCCGATGTTTCGCTATACATCCATGTCGACTATCCCAAGTGATTCGGAATGAGGAACGCATCACCTGTTTTGGACCTTGTGCTCACCAATGAGAGTAACAGCATCACAGTTTTACAGCAGCATAAATTCCGCTGAAATCGGTCCTGCACTACCCCGAGCAGGCTGGACAGCCTCACTGGATACCAGAGTAGGAGTCGACGTCATCTACCTGGTTTCCTCAAAGCGTTCGACCGCCCGAACCAACACATTCTCCGTTACAAGCTTCGGAGCTATCGAATCGATGAAGCTGTGCTCGGTTGGACATGTAACTTCCTCATCCAACGTCAGTTGAAGGTGAGAACCTGCAGCTCCAGTTCTAACCCAATGGACTTCCAGTGAGACGTGCCCCAAGGATCGGTTCTGAGGCGACGCATGTTCCTCCTCTGCAACAACGACCTCGCGTGTGCTCAAAGCAGATTTCTTCCTATTTGCAGACGACGTCAAGGTCTGACATAACACCAAGACAGTAGACAATCACGCAGCACTGCAACGAGATCTGGACAGAGTCCAAAACCAGCTCCAGTTCAGTGTAGCGAAATGCAAACGCTTGAACACACGTCATCAACTTATCCATGAATGCCAAATTGGTGATCAGCAGTGGCAATTTGCTTTCCAGGAAAGTGACCTCTGGATAATCGTGTAATACGATTTAAGCTTCTCTAAAGAAACTGCAAAACATCAAAAGGGCCAGTCAGCATCTTGAACTCTTACGGATGACTTTCGGAAAGTTCGAACCATCTATCTTTTCGTACATGCTGAACGCATACACGAGGACTCATGTGGAATACGCCGTCCAGTCCTGGCCTCCATGGCGCAAGCGCAATGTAGATGCGTTTATGCTCCACAGTGTAGAACAAGCAAAATAGTCAGGGGATTACTCAACCTACCCAACCAAAGCAGTCTGCAAGTCTTAAGATTGTACAGCTGTGCATATCGCCACTTGAGAGGAGACCGCATCATGGTTTACTCCGTACTGGCTAATCCCAATCACGCCTATCGCGACCCGTCACAACTCAGTCAGAAAACTAACCTGGGAGGTCACCTGAACAAAATTTTCAAGCACTTTAGTCGGCTTTATTCCCTGAGCATGAACCTCTTCCAACTCCGTTCATTTTTGCCCCAACATTAGTATTTTCAAAAGAATTGTCAACACCCTGTCCTCTTGCTTTGCATGATCTAGTTCGTTTCATTTAGACGGTGCAATAACACAAAGTAAACAGTGTTCATCAATTCGCTACGCAACGTAGCGCTGAGGAAACCTGCTACCGTGTCCATGTGAATTCTTTAAAACCCGAATTGCCCTTTCTCACGTCCTTTTATAACTTAGTTTTAAAACCCTTACCCGGATCATCTTACCGGACTTGCCAAGCAATCGCTTTTCTATCAGTTATAAATCATGGTTCATTGTTCACATAGTAATGCATACAGTCGGGGATACTAATAGATTGGTGGACCGTACAGCCAACCTTTTCCCACTAGAACGTTGGTCCGTGTTCTTGCATGGCTAGTGTGCGTCCACTTATAGGAACCTTACTGGAACCGACACTCACCGAGCCCAAACTCACAGTATCCCATGCACAAATAATATCGACGCAACATTCGCTAATAATCGTGTCGAAGAGAACCTGATCGATAACTATGAGGTAAAGTTTTCGCCAAGCTCCCCATAGCTTACCTGTACGATTTGATTGATCGATCATCGGCTGCACGATCCGGCGTCTCGCGTTGATGAACCTGACATGAGGGAGTAGAAGAATGGAAAAGTTCTCTGTTTTTTGATCAGTTGGTGAAATGCCGTTTGATGTTGGCAATCATCTGGGGAATCAATCACTAGTCCACAAAAACACATTCGATTTTTTCTGGAGTCACCAAACTCTGTCATTCATCATGTAATGCATCGGGTTTAAACATACGCTGAAACTGAATAGACGGGCCGAAGACCCCTGATGTCATGGGGCTCGGAGATTGAGCGATAGGTGAGCTAATGTGCACTAGACCATGAATGGTGACAGCTAAGTGGCACGCCCAATTTTCCTTAAAGTTCATGACAGACGATCCCAACTCACTGAGCTGTATTGTTTGTGTCTGATTGTCAACAAGACAGCTAAATCCGTCGCTATTTGGCATATGACCAGAGATCATGGAATGGTGCCATCTTGCTGTGCTTGTCTTGCTACTCTCGTGTACAAACGAATACCAATAGTTCAATGCTTCAACCGAATAGTCGCTAATTCGATGCATATCGACATGCGGAAATCCATGACAAAAGCACCGTAGCGCATATGATTTTCAAGTAACAATTAACGCTACGAACATTGGTATATGCATAAATCGTCTTTAGAAGAAAACGATCCGTCGGTCAAGTCAAGTATTTTATCAATCCATCCTCATATAGGTGCTTATCCGCGTACTTCTGTCAAAAAGTAACATTTGAACATAGGCTCGAGGTTTTGTGGGCGTTCATAGATTCAGTTCAGGCAGTAATTTCGAACGCACAAACATGAACAGAGGTTCCTTCTAAGTTCGATTTGGAATACCCGCCATGTGATTGGACTGCGACACGCAATCGCTGTTGTAGCCTTGGTTCTTCTTGAAGTGGACCTCGGTCATTCCGATCGCAAGGACTGTAGCCACAATGAGGGTGTTTTCGTGTTGCTACTCAAAACACTGGCACCCCAGGGCCAACTTCGTCCTGCTTTGGACTCATCAGATGGACATAGCCTGAGCTGGAGTGGAACTCGGGGCCTAGTGGTTAACGGCTGACGTCTTATTCACTATATTACTAAGATCCTTCTACAGTCCGCCCCATTTCGAATCGATCCATGAACTCTACGAGTACTCCGATATCGCTAGCTTTTCTGCTGCATATACGTGGCCGATGCCAAATTTTCTCACCACGAGAGTGGCGTAAGTATCAAGCGCGATAGAGTGTACATGACGACAGACGCTTATCTTAACACAACACTGGGAGCGGCCGGTACTTCGGAATTCACCCTGACCCAAACATTGTTACCGACGAGGTGAACCAAATGTGACTGTCACAGTGTTACTTATTTACACACTCGGGGTATATGGAAGTGTGTAATCTATAGTGGGGCCTCCAGGCAAACCCATAGTTGCAAATCACCACTGTCTTGCCTGAATTGGAGGCCTAGATAATGTCTAATCAGTGATATCTTGGTTCAGTCTTTTTATTGTCATCGATCTTAGGATACGAATGGAACATCGCCACGGAATAACAGCAAGTGCCTTGCAGAAACAGTCCAACCATGATGGTTACATATATGGGGCAATTTGGGCAAACTAAAGCGCCCGACTGGATGCAAAATGGATCCGTGGACCACTGGCCACGGTTATTTTCGTTCTATCTTTAGATGCTTGTGAGTCGTAGTGAAGGTGAGGGAGGCGTACTCTTGGAGCGAATGTGATCAACCTTCCTCGGAAGACAAAAGTGGAGCAGATAGAAACGGAAGGGACCGAATTCAATAGCAAAGGAATACCGATTGGTTCGTTGAAGAAGTATAGCCTGAGTCCTGCATTGGGAAAGACGCAAAGGTTTCTAGCTGCGTATGATAAGTATCATACGCAGGAAGGTTGATCACATTCGCTCTGGTCACATCTACCCATTCAGCAATGGGGTGGTGATCGTCACTTCAAATTCTACTGTCTTCCAACCTCCTGACCGTGCAGTGAGTGGCTTCTTTACTATACCAGGAATATATCTTCCAAACGAGTAGTTTAATACAGCCTTTTCACATTATATCATTGAATCCTCAATTAGTAAGTTACTCTGTAACGGTCTATGGTCTGCAGCATCTGCTATTCACTGGAACGTGCAAGATGAAACGTCAGTCTATCCACATCCTCTCTTCCGGACCAGCTCCTCGGTGTATCATTCGCATTGGAACTGCGAGCTGGCCTAAACCCAATACTCACAAATGGGTCCGATATATCAAAACAATCCGACAATCTAACCGTCGTTTCGCGGTGTCTCCCACGTGTATGTATGGTAGTGTTAGCCGAGTGTCAGTTCACACTAAATGTACAAGCCTTACCAGACACAGAGCTGTCACGATACGACCGAAGCGTCTCGAGCACACCGACACAAGCAACAATTTCTGCTTCAATCGGTTCATTGTTTCTGCCCGGAGACGTTTAAACGCCAATGGTATGATGAATCACCCGGAATTAGTACACGTCACACACCATATAAGCACGTGCGTGTGCTGATATGTTTAGTTTGACGCATGTGTGTGCACGCGTACTTGCTACAGTGTAATGCCTGCTTGTATGTGGTGTGCGTACGTGTGTGCGTGCGTTCGTGCCATGCGATTCTAGTCTGGCCCAACTTTCGGTCAACGTGACAGTTTGTCTCACATCCGAAAGTTTTGCGCACACACACGTGCCCCAGCAGTTCGACCGGGACAAATGTCAAACCGAACAATTTTCCACCGGTTGATGGAACGGTATTTATGGAGCGTGTAACGAGGCCACATCAACTCGGATGTTCATCCCCCTGGAAACGAGTGGTGGAGGGATGGTCTGTACGGATAGCTGGCGGGCGGAGCTGAAAATGGCATTCGCACTGTTGCGCTGGTCTTACTTCGAAGCTGACGACTTGTCTAATCTAGACGGAGAAACTCCCCTTTTCATTCCGCGTCTAATTCACCCTAGTTTCTGGTGCAGCAATCCTGCAAACAAGTTTTTTTTCATCCGTGATTACATCTCCGACCCAAAGGGTAGTAACCTTTTTGAGCTGGCAACTGCATCTGCTGGCGTCGTTTTGTGGTACAAATGATTTCTGTAGTGCTCGCAAATGCATACGACGAACTTTTGTAATAAACAGACACACATCGGTCTATGGATTTCGCACATTACGAGGAACTAAATTGCATCCCTGTGGTTAAGTACATTAAATAAGATACCCATGTGTTGTCGCTTAGGGATCCAAAAGCCTACGGGAGTGCAATTACCGGTTGAGCCTTTGCGTGAGTCTCAAACGTGATTGCCACAAGTTTGGGGTATATTCCCCAGGCATTCAACGCTAGAGTAATGGGTAACTTTAGAAGCTGGAAACTTCCTGGCTTTGACAGAACAACCATATGTGTGATGCACTACAGTTCTTGACACGATGCGCTTCCAGTGGTGTCTGACGTCCAATTCTGGCTGGCCGGTACTTACTAATCACGGACTCTAACGTGGTTTTCAGACATGCCTCAGGAAGGTATCTCAATAGATGCCGGGTCATTGTTAAGGCACCTGGTGGGGATGGTTTAAATCAGAAGCAGACCTACATTCCCGGTATCAGGTACGCAATATGTGTTCCTATCAGTCACTACGGAACTGGCTCATCCAGGATCATCATGGCCAGTAAAATAACGCGGTAAATCTACTTGTTTGTGTCTGCTCTATCGAGCTTCCGTACTGAAATATAAGCATTCGGCGAGGCTTGTTCAGTAATACTGACGTACAAGGCTGTATCACTAAGTCTCCAGGTCCCACGATCCTCCCAGAAGGAGAGTGGGGACCTACTGCTCCTCTCTAAACTTCACTCCAAATGCGTAACCGAGTACCTGGGAACGGATCAAAACCCTACAGACTGCTCTTTTGTAGGAAACTAACTGACATATGGCAGTCAAGCTTCCGTTGTTATAACGTTGCTGCCTTGCAGAAAGGGTTGACCAGTCGACTTGGGACATAGGTAAGTAGTTTGGGTAAACACTGGTTATTAGGACAATGAACAATGGACAATGATTTATCATGCGTAAAAAAGCATGTACTTTACAAGTCCCGGAGGATGGTTGGAGTAAAGATTAACATTGAAAGGATCATCAAATAGGTAAGTCGCTATTTTAAGCGTCAACCGAGTTAATTGCACTACTGTATAACGATAGTTCGAAGTGGGATTGGGATGTGCACACAAAATAATATAGAGAGACGTTTTGGTTCAGTAAATGCGTACGAAAGATAGAAGGAAACGACAACGCTTGCTCGTGCGTTACTTCATGTTACTGATGTGGTATGTCAATTCAGTTTAGATACATCCAGGCTACTCACATGGACACTTCTGCACGTGTCTTCACCGCCATGTTGCGGAGAGCCGTTACGCGTATGGTTAGGTTTGCGTTATTTCGTCCTCTAAGTGGAACGGACTATACCAAGTAATGCAAGTTGGAAAGCGTTTCATTAAGGCATTTTTTGAATAGCGTTAATGTGGGGGCAGGGGAGCGAGCCGGAAAGGGCATTTCAGACACGGGACACACGGAGGGAGAGAACGTTTCGTCGACCGTTGACCGTAGTGCGTAGCCAATTTGAGCTGATGGTCTCTCAGGCTGGTATTTTGGCTCAGCTACAACAGATTACAACATGGGTGAGTTGGGTTCGTCAGTATTAAGTAAACCATGATTAGGCCACTTCACTGACGTCGATATACACCACAGTACAATTTCAGGGAGTGCAGTCTGCGCTGATAGAAAAGATGAAACAATCCTCTAACGAGTTTGGTTGCTCCACGTTGTGAAGCTTCAAGTGCATTGATGTCGCGCTCGCACCAGGGACGCCAGGCCTGGATCGCATATTCCACGTGGGGCCTCACCTAGGCGTTCAACATTTACGGAAAATTGATGGTTCAAAAGTTCAGGAAGCCCTCCGTAAGAGTCCAAGATGTTGACTGGCTCTTTTTGATGCCTTTTCAGCCTGTTTTCAGCAGTCAAGGTCGTACTGCACGATCATCT